ATTAAGGTTTATTATGAAACCGTTCTTTGAACTTTATCCGTAAAACCGAGATTTTAATTAGTATCCGCTAAATCGAGGTCCGCTAAATCGAGATTCACAGTGTAATATGAAGTTTGCGGTGGTCCTGTCCCACCACAATATAAAAATTGCATTTAAATCTTTCTAAATATGGGAATTTACATATTTAATATTGAATGAGGGAGGAGGAGGTTATAAGCAATTTCGTTTATCAACACTGATTGTTGGTTACATCAACCTTTAAAAAATAAAATGAAACGTCTTGTTGTATTTGATTTTGACGGGTAATAAAAATTTTCATATATATATTGTATTTCAAATTTCATATTTTATTAGCTAAATCTTATAATCTTTTAAACAAAGATCTTTAATTGATGAAAATTCCGATACATGGATATTTGAACAATTATCGATCGAGACAGCTGAAAAGCTTGATAAATTATATGGGAAAATACAGTGGACAGATTTAATGTAAATGATATTTGAATTAATATTGTTATTTTTGCATTTGATTAAACAAAAAAAATTTTTAATAGTTTTTAATTTTAATTTTTAATTAGGGACAAATTACTTGGTGAATTACACCAGAAAGGCATAACAAGGCAACAAATTGAACATGCATTTACAAAAATTCCATTTGTAAGTATAGAATTATACATATGGATACATTATGGATATGCAGTATATTGATAATATATTTTCTTAATACATGTACAAGAGATCTAAAATGATCGAAGCATTAAAAACCATCAAGAAATTAAATGGTGATATTATAATTCTTTCAGATGCTAATACTGTTTATATTGAAGAGATTCTGAAGGTTTTTATAGATTATTTTTTTCTTTCAATAAAAAATTCTAATTTTTAAAATAAATAATGACCTTAATCAAATTGTTTTATTAGGCTTATGATGTATATGAGTTGATTTCTGATATAATATCAAATCCAGCAGAATGGAATGAAGATGGTAGATTACGTGTTCAGAGATTATATTCTCCAAATGACCCACCTCATGGATGTGAAAATAAATGTGCATTAAACATTTGTAAAGGTCGTGAACTATTAAAGTTTTTATCAAAATGTGAAGTCAAATATCAACAAATTATATATGTTGGAGATTCTTTAAATGATTTTTGTCCAGCTACTAAAATGTCAAGGTAAAAATTTCCCGTATTGGTGGTTTATTAATGGTATATTTATTGTGTGTGTATTTGTGGGGTGCATTTGGAATGTATTTATAATAATAATAATAACGATAATAATTAATGCTTTTTTTTATTAATAAAGTAACGACTTGTTTTTGGTAAGAAAAGGTTTGGAGCTTGAGAAGTTTTTAAAAAATGGATCGGATTCCTGTAAACCTAAATATAAAGGTTTAAAGAACATCATCAATCCACGTATAATTTATTGGAATGATGCAAATGATGTTTATAATATTATAGAAATAGAATTTGAAAGTACTCTTTTGACAAATTAATTAAATGATTATTTTTTTAACTTTCCTTTTCATCCATTATTTTTTTCCTGTTTTCTGATTGTTTTCTTGATTCATTTATAGCATATTTAACATATAAATCAATTATTATTGCCATTGTAAATGCTGTAATAATCGTTTGGAATTTGTGTCATTTTATTATAGGAAGAAATTGAATTGGCCAATCAAAATTTTAATATATTCGTGTAACGATTTTTTTACTTTCCATCTATGTATTATTATTATTATTATTTATATATACAAAAATTTTAATTATTTATATAATGAGTAATAATAAAGCACTAAAAAACAAATTTCAAAAGAATGATTCAGGGAGTGAAATTGATTTTGATGAAGAGATGAAACAATTTCAAGATTTAGACATGCCTAATTCTTTAATAACTAAAATTATTGAGAATGCGGTAAGTTTATTTTTAAATCAAACCTTTTTTTTTTCTATAAAGATTGATATTTTTTAAAATTGATTTATTCAATAATCAAAAATACAAGATAGGTAACCATCAAATAGAAAATAATGCTAAATTGGCTATAATAAAATCAATTACACCTTTTATAAAATTGATAAGTAAAAGGTATAAAATTAAATGATCATATATTTTATATTTTATAATAACTAAATCATCAATTGTTTTTATTTTTTGGTGGGGAAAAAGTGCCAATGAAATTGCAAAAGATAATAGTCATAAAAACATAATAGCTGATGATGTATTCAAAGCATTAGATTCTAATAAATTTAAAGAATTCATACCAAGGCTAAAAGATGAATTAAAAGGTAATTAATTAACAAAAAAACAATAATTGTTGTATTATGATTGATTATTTTATAAAAACGAAATTATTAATGGTCAAATTAATTACATATATCTATCTATTTTTTTATATAGTTTTTCAAGCTGAACAAAAACTTAAAAAAAACAGCGGTGGAACTTCTTCAACCCCTGCTAATCCTAATCCTACTACTACTACTACTACTGAGCCAATTCCTGATAACGGTATTACTGTATCATTAGAATCTAACAATGGTAACAATAATAATAGTAACTCAAAGTTAAAAGAAAAAAGATCAAAAATTTCTTCTTCTAATAATATTTCCACAATTGGAACTTTTGTTGATAATTATAATAAAAATAAAAGTAATAAAAACATTACTAACAGTGTTGTTGATGATAAAAATGATGATGGTGATGGTGATGACGATGGTGATAATAGGAAAAAATTAAAGATGTTACATGATAATGGTAATATTAATGGAGCTAATATAATATAATGGATATTAGATTAGAAGGATCTTAACAATATCATTAATAACAATAGCATTAATGATTATAACAATATTATATAGACATGTATTTTATATATATATATAAATAAATTATTTAATTATTTAATATTTTATAATAATAACAATTAACCTGGATTTCGATTTCTTATATTTTATTTTATATATACATATAAAGGAAAAAAAAATATATTGTATTTTTTGTAGTTAAACAGGAATTTTGTAATTGGAAAAATCTTTACTATTACTATTGATACCTTTAATAATATCTCTGTAAGAATTGATTGCTATAAAAAAAAAATTAATCCGTTATTTGAATTTCCGGAGAAAACATGGATTTTAAATCACGGATCGGGTTTTTTCTTTTACTTTTTACACTAATCTACCCATTTTTCTTTTACAGACATAAAAGATAGTATTAGATAACCTATTCTTTCACACATAAAAATTTGACATACTAATATTTATTATTTAAAATTCCAACGACTAATTATTATTTGATCAAAAAAAAAGGCTTATATGTATGTTAAGTCTTTTTATTATATTAAACACAAAACAATGAGAATCCTCACAATTAACTAATTACATTGAATCTATCACAACAAAACTCGAAGATGATTCACTTAATAGATGTTAATAAATACTAAAGCTCCAAACGGTTCAGAGCTTTAGGCTAAAGATTCTAAATTTTGCACTCTGCTTATTTAGAATTAACATTAAACCAATAAACTTATTATTATACACTGAATGTATTTAAACGACTATTCCGGAATTATGTAATGAGTTATCCCCATTTCTCACAAATTACATCCAGTATTTTAAGCTCAGACAGGCATAAAACAATTATCCCCTGGGCCATGTAAGCTCCCCTCCCGGTAGGGAGGAGCCCGCCAAAGCTTATATGTTACCCAGGGGTAACCAGCTATTACAGCAACCAGCGTTCTGGTTGAACGAGTTGTTTTTAGAGGCACAGACTTTAATTACTCAAAGACGTTGTGGTTCAGAACCTGGAACGATAAGAGTTTGCATGTTGGAGACGATGAATTTGTTGTAAATTTTTATATATGAATTGAAAATAGAACGTCGTATAAATAAAAACAAATAATTCAGACCTGTAACTGACCAGCTGCATCTACTATGTATGAAATGGATAAAATTCAATCATGGTCTCCATTCTAAAAATTATAGATTATAGTCAAACCTCGTTATAATGGACTCGTTGTAAATGAATACAACGATTTCAATTTTCAAAACATCATTAAGCAAAAAAAAGAAGTGGTAATAGTAAGCCCAAATTGCTTGACAACGATGCAAAAATTGATTTGAAGGACATAATAATAATAGAGCTATGCTAAATTTCGCCTAATTGGTTCATTAATTTAAATGTTTCGGTTAAAACAATTTATAGAAACTTGCATAAAGTTTATTTAAATTCACGTAATGCAGTATCAAAACCATTTCTAAATGAAACGCAATGTCAAAAACGACTTGAATTGTGTATTCATCAACGAAACTGGTCTATAAGATAGTAATAGTAGTGAAGTGTCATATGGAGAGGCGAGAGTAGAGATGTGCCACGCACAGTGTGTGACGCACAGTGCGCTGCGCACTGTGCGCACTGTGCGTGAGAATTTTTGAGTG